TGCTGCAGGCTCCAACAGGCCTCTCTAGGAACCAACTGGAAAGTATGGTTTTCAGATTCTAGAGAGTATGGGAGGGACCTCAAGGGGCCTTCTGGGATCTGCAGTCTACTTTTCCTCTTACTATTCACATGCAACAATGACTCCCTGCTGCTTCTATCTATCCAGAGAGACACCAGCCCCTGCTAAGGGCTAAGAAGCTCCCGGATGGGGGAGACAGGGCTGGATACAGATGCCCTCAACCCCTTGGGGTCAAGGTACTGTCAGAGCGAAGGGAGGAGCTGGAGGAGCCCAGAGTGGGAGTCCAGGGCTGTGCCCTTGGGTAAGGGCAGTTGGAAGGCATCCCAGAATAAGGGTAATTTGCAGCTGAGTCTGGGAGAATGGTGTCTCTTGGGTAATGTAAGTGCTCAAATTCTTCTACCCAAACTGGGAAGCCTCACCTCTTCTTGATTAAGTTCTACCAGATCCCTGTTGTTGTGGGATACAAGCCAGAAAGTTTGACATTACCATATGCTTCCCTGTGATGAAATATAAATATTTGATAGCTCAGTCTTTGTCCCTAGCTCCTGACACAGCTCCAGAAACTGAGCCTCCTATTCCAGGAGTGATAAGAGTGTCTTTATTATGCTGATGAGATAACTATTGGCTGTGAGCTTCTAGGCAGCTTCAAGGCACAAGAAAGAGAAGGCAAAGCAAAAAGGCTGGTAGGAAAAATTAGTATTTAGAACCTCTAATAACATGCCTGCAAAGCAGTAAGAACAAAAGAAACTTAAAAAAAAAGAGCAATGGCTTTAAATGGGCATATCAAAAAGGCAACCCATATGGCAAATGAACAGTAGAGATTTTCCAATCCCACTAGTAATTAGGGAAATGCAACTTAAAGGACAGTGGGAAACCACTCGGCAACCTTATTGGCAAAATTAAGTTTCACACTGTCAAGTGCTCTTGAGGGCATGGGGAACAGATCTCCTGACACAGAAGTGCTGAGTGACCAGCTAGTTGGGGGTTGAATTTGACTATTCTCCTTATAGTTAAGATTCACATTTCTTACAACCTGTTCATCTCACTACTCATTTTGTGTTTGAATCAGATAGTGCCTGTTTGTAGTAGAAAACATACAAGGTTATGTATTGTATTATTCCTAATAATGGAGAAAAATTGGATGCAAACTGAGATGTCTAACAGTTAAATGTACCCTATATATATTTATAAATTTGAATATTAAATTGATTTTATAACAATGAGGTGTTTCTATGTGGTTAGAAACCTAGGTGTGTTTTGCCTCAGAAGGGACATTTGGCAAATTCTGGAAACTTTTGTCATGGCTGGTGTGGGGAGCCTACTGGCATCTAGTAGTTGAGACCTGGGATGCTGTTAGACATCCAGCAATGTTCAGACAGCCCCCACCACAAAGGAGGATCCCACCCTAAATGTCAACACCGCCAAGGCTGAGAACCTTTAGTCTGTATAAACCAACATGAATATCACTCCAAAATGATGACTGAAAAAGCCAAGTTGCAGAAAGGTACCTACAGGACAATCAGATCTGTGTTAAAACACAAAGTATGGAAAACAGTTTGATGGTTCATCAAAAATTAAAGATAGCATTATTATATGACCCAGCAATTTCACTCTTAGGTGAATTGAAAGGATTGAAAGGAATTCAATCCAATCTTTGTACACAAATATTCATAGCAGCACTATTCACATAGCCAAAAGATGAAAACAATCTAAATGCTCATCAATGAGTGAACGAGTAAACAAAAGTGGTCTATCCATTCAGTGGAATATTACTCAGCTATCAAAAGGAATGAAGCACTGATGCATGCTATATGACAGATGAATCTCAAAAATATTATGCTGAGTGAAAAAAGCCAGACCCCATAGGCTACATTTTGTATGATTCCATTTATATGAGATGTCCAGATCACGTGAATCTGTAGGAACAAAAAGCAGATTCGTGCTTGCCACTAATCTAAAGCTGGGGTTGGAGGGAGGACTGCTAATGAGATGTGATCTCCCATTTTGTGGGGGATGATTAAAATGTTCTAGACTTAGATAAAGATGGTGGTTGAGCAACATTGTGAATGTGCTAAATGCCTCTGAATTTAAAGTGCTTAATTTTATGTTATATGAATTTCATCTCAAAAATAAAACAAACCCACAAAAAAGCACAATCAAACCCCACGACAGTATTCTTATTTTATGTCTTTGTTCACTTGCCCCATGCATACAATGGTCTGCAACAATGTCCATCAAATTCCCCATCATGATAGCATGGCTGGTCAACACATAGCTTTTATCCTGATTGGTAGAATTTCAATTATTTAATAAGAAAAAACAAATATATGTGTGCTGATTTTCAAGAATTTTAAAGATATTGAATTAGACAAATGACCTGAACGGGGAAGAAAGAAGGTGGACAGGCAAGTCGGGCAGCCTCGTTAGCCCCAGTGGCCAATGGCAGGACTGCTTTCCTGCTGATGTCAGGAACCAGGGCCCCAAATTCCAGATTCGCTAAGCATTAGACTCTGCTCCAGTCCCTAAGAAGCTCAGGTAATTGACTCAGCCTTGGCAGGCAGGGCGGGAGGGAAAGTGAGGACAGATTCTCCCTGAGGTTGCCCAATGCCTCGAAGTGTCCCCAGGGGTCCCAACATCCCTGTAGCAGAGGCAGAGGCAGAGGGACCACAGTGAGAGAAGGCAGCAGGCAGGAAGCAGAGGCAGCATAAATAATGGAGGTCAAGCTCAGGCAAAGGCCACCACGTGGCTGGCACACTCAGGGTGGCAGGCTCCATGCCTTACAGCCCTCATCTGCAAGGAAACATCAAATCAGGACCTCCAACTTGAGTAAGGCAGAAGTAGGTGCAGAGCCTGGAGCCCCAGGTGAGTCATTGTCCCTCTCTTCCACTTGACCAGGAGAGACCTGGGGAACCAGCATCTGCCACAGACTCAGAGAAGCCATCCTGTGTATATAACTCCTTGTGCAATTCGAGTCTGTGGGATGGGAGCAGAAGGCAGGGCTCCACTTCCTATCTTCAAGGTGACGGGATGATTGCTTCTCAGGACAGGTGAAGAAACTGAGGTGCAGAGAGGGGAGCTACTGCTCTTAGTTACCCAGAACACTGCTTGCATTTTAACTTCTCTCCCCTCTCCATCCTGGCCAAAAAAACAGTGGTAAAAGGATTGAGGGGAGGCAGAGAAGAGACAAGAGGATTTCGGACTGAGAGGCTCCAGTCACCCACCAAGGGTGTAATGTATCCAGGGGCACCAGGGCGGACAGGTGTGGTGACGGTAAGGAGTTAGGGATGAAAATGGGGAGAGGAAAGGGAGGCGAGGGTGGCAGAGATGGGAGGGAGGATGCAGAAGGGCATCCTAAAGAACTCCACTGAGAAGAGAGAGCCAGGATGAGGGCAGAAGGGTAAGGCAAGATGGAGACAACACAGACCTCGCTTGTGGTTCTCAACCAGGGGCAGTTCTGCTTCCCAGGGGACATGAGACAGTACGTGAGGATACTTTTGATTGTCACAATTGGGAGCAGCTACCAGCATGTAGTGCAGGACAAGGATGCTGCTCAACATCTTATACTGCACAGGACAGCCCACAACCACAAAAATTATCAGCCCCCAAAGTCCCTAAGGCTGAGGTTGGAAAACCCTGCTGCAGGGGTATACGAGAACAAGATCTGTCCACAGGTGGCCTTGGCCCCTGTGTTCCTTGGTGGAGA